CTTCCAATACCTTTCTATATATATTTTCTTCTTCTCTTAGTTGTACCAAAACATTTTCATATGACCACCATGCTTCTTCCCACCCTTCCAAATGACATTCTGTCACTTATTGTTGAAAAAGTTAGCACTCATGATTTTCGGGACCTTCGTTCGTTCACTCTTGCTGGGACACGTTGGAGAGACCTTGTATATTCTAAAGGAGTTCTTAAAGTAACCGACATTTACACCTTATGTTCTGATCCAACTTACATCTTTCTTAATGGTAGAAGTCGAGTTTTCTTTGACAGATGCCTTGCTGTTGGTAACACCATTGCTATTTACTGGGAATCTCTTCGGCTTGCTATCAAGTTACAAGACATGGACGGTGCCATCCACCTACTACAATAAACTCCAACAATTGATTCGCAATGTACATTTGCATGTGCAATTTTCATGGTTTGCAATGGGCAACATGAATTTGCTTCGCTATATTTCGATACATTCTTCCAACTTCATGCTCCATTCCGGTCAGTATCTTTGCGACAAACGGGTGAAGAGCTAATAAGGGAAATTATAACATTATCTCCCTCATGTGAAGGTACGTTTCAATCTTCTTTTTCTTTCCCAAATAATGGGATACTAAACATACCTGAATGTGCAATGGATTGTCTTATAGCAGGACCAACATGGTGCAACAATTGCTACTTATTTTGGTGTGCAAATCGTGTATCTGAGTTGCTTTAGATATCCTTTATTTTTAACTTTCCAAAATATATGTTTTAAAATTTCTAATTCAGTATATTATTCTACGAATAATTAGAGTATTATAATTGTTTGACTTGTTGACCAGAACACTCCAAAAACTCGCTGTCTATATTGGTCCAACAATATGGACTTTTACAACAAACATTGACAATTTAAATTTTTAAATTTTGAATTCTCTTATAAGAGGACTGACACACACCAACAACACTAACTCTACGAACTCTCATTTATTTCTCACACTGTTTTGTCAGAGATATTTTACTTGTTTATTCTTATTTCTATTTACTGTGTATGCCACTCACGATTTTCTATATGCGACGTCACCAAATCTTCCTAAACAAACCAAATTTATTAAAAACAAATAATATTATAATTCCATCTATTTAGGCTAATTTTCTTCCTTTCCTTCTCAAGTCTCACTTTTCTTACTCCACTAACAAACAACAAACAACAAATCTCCTTCTCACTCCATGGCAAGTTCCAAAACCACCGCTGATGCGTCCAATTCCAGCCGTTCTTCCCCTCCCCCTTCGCAGTCGAGCTGCTATTGTGGGCATGTTCTGTTGGTTCAAAATCTTGGACAGACGCTAACCCCGAGAGGAAGTTTTACAAGTGTTCTAAACTTAACAAGCGTTACAACAGATGCTGCAACTATTTTCGTTGGCTTGACAAGGAACCAGTCACCGGATGACCATGAATAGCCTTAATTGAAGCGAGAGACAGAATCAGAAACCTCTAACATGATACGCTCGTGGAACTAACCCAGCCTCTGTTGAATTAGCCGCTGCCAACCGTGCTGATCTTGCAGATGCAACCTGTAACGCCCGTGAGCCAAAAAAGGGGATTTTTTGGGCATGTGTGTCGATCCACGGGATAAAATCAGACCGACGGTTTCGGTTTCTGATTTGTCGGTTTGGGGAGCGGTTTAGGCGACACCCTAGGGTTTGTATAAAAGGGCTGGAACAGACGCCTGTTGGTCTCATTTTGGCCGAAAATCAGAGAAAGAAGAGGATTCGAGAGAGAATCAAGAGAGGTTGTGAGTTGTGTGTGATTGAGGGTGAAGGACAGCTTCTGTTCGAGTGGTTGAGAGGGCAAACGGCTGGGCAATTCGAGGAGGATTGGGGTTAAACTTTTAGGGTAAGTTTTCCGATCTCTGGTCTCGATATGGGCGAAATCCGTTCGACATTTCGTTGAATATTCGTTGAGTTATGGCTGTTTGAACTTGATAGGATTGTGCAGACTTGTTGCTGCGATCAGTCAGCTTCGGGAAGGCTATCTGATCGAACCATAACGGATGAGGAAACGATCAGCCTATCTGTAGAAAGCTCGCTCTGTCTAGTTTCTAAATCAGGTTTCTGATCCTGATTCTGAGGTATTATCCGTTCTCAGTGTGCTTTCAAAGTCAGTGTGTCGTTCCTGTCGTCCGAAATCCTAATTCGGTTTAGGTGATTGTTGGAGGAGACGAACGGCTAGGCAAATCAGGTCGGATCAGGGTGAAACTTTGTGGGTAAGTTCTCCAATCCTTTTTCTTGATGTGGAG